CCCAGAGAAGATTTGTGGATGTAGAAGGATGGCATGTAGAGGTGACAGAGGATGCTAGGGATAGGATGAGATGGAGACCAATGATCTGCTGTGGTCATCTCGAAAAGTAGCAGCCAAAAGCACGAGACACTGAGGCGCACAGGAGGCAACAACAAGGCAACTTCCAAAAAGGGAATGGTGTTGCAGGTGGACACCACAGACAATTACTCTCCCGTTATTCCTCCTGACCGACTTCTCTCCAGTTTTTAAGCTCCTCCCGGAGGTTTGCTGTGTCTCCTGGGATCTGGTGCGTCGTACAAGGAGAAACAGGAGCGGCACTATCACGTGTGGATGACAATATATTAAGATGCTGCTCTGGGAAAAAAAATGCACCAACTGCAAAACTACACATTTTTAATATTTATTCTGTTTCAATTAAATGCATTACATGGCCAAAGCCTTCCAATAATGATTTTTCTTACAAGTTAGGAAGTAGAAAATAAAATACAATTAGCCTGAAGCTTAAAAAGCTTTATGGATAAGCCTAGAAACGTACAGTAAGTGGTTCTGGTTTTGAGAAATGTGCAGAATTGTTAAAAAGGACAGTAACCTGTTTGAATACATGACAATGAAGCAATGGAACTAGTACAACAAGAGACCTGGAGAGCAGACATGCAGCTGCGCTCTCCCGTATTTACAATAAACTTCATTGTAAGAGAGCGAGGGCTCTCAGTAGGAAGTACTGCATCAACCACAGACAGTACACTGGTTAGACACGAGAAGAGGAAACTATCTTCTTGCTAAACATTAAAGAAGTAAGAACAGGAAGAGCTGTCCAAAACATTGTGCATTATTTGATAAGAAATGAGCTAAGGTAATGAGAGAGCAGAGGCCTCTCGCACTTCATCGTAGCCTCAGCAGAAAACCTTCTGTCACGTTTAGTAAAGCTTTCCTGTGCCGCCGCGTGGCTGTCAACAGGCCCGATAACACAGTGCAACGTGAGCGTGCATCCTCAGCACATCTGAGGTCTTTTGCAAGTTAAATCCCTGCAGATGTCGAGGTGCACGACCAGAAAATACACCGCTCTAACGAAAAAGGAGAAACACTTAACTTTCACCGTGTTTGTGTAAGACTCTGAAATCCAGGGAGTCTCTCAGAGCGGGAAAGACGCCTGGATTCCAAAAAAGAAAAGAAAAATCGTACAAATGGTAACGAGTGAAGCACCGACTCTGGCACACGGTGAAATGGGACCAAATGTTCACGTGGTAACACGACAACCGCACAGTTGTAGTTATCCACTCAGCATTCAAGCTGCTGAGGAGCCCTTGAGAGTTTCCCTAAAGGAGATCAATCAGGATTAATGATACAGTTAATGATCAGTTAAGGATCCACGCTTACATTCATCTATGACAACCTTGCGTTTTGTTACATTCTTTCATGTCGGGCCACAAGGAATTTAAATTTTTAGACCAATTTAAAGATCCTAAAGTACTTGAGAGAAACTTAGTTTGCATGTTAGAAAAACAGATCGTGTACTTTCTGTTCTGCATCCTGCTGTAGTGTGGCCTAGTTGTTAATGCAAACCAAGTAATGGCTGTAGTTTCATTCCTTATTACCTCCCCCGACACACACACACACAAATCAACGCTTTAATGCTCACGACACAGGTGCTACGGTGAGCAAGGTAGGACTGAAATCTCAAAGGAAAAGGTAGCTGTGGCAGATTTGTTCCATTTTAGTATAAATCTACACATTGTACACATTTCACATCTTACAGGAGCCGCAACTTCCAGTTAAACACGAAGAGATGATGAAATATCCTCACCTACTCTAAATGAAGACAAAAAATCATCTTCCCTGCACGAGAGTGGGACACGGTCACTCTGTTAGAAAGGGCCTACAGAGTTATAGAAACAGAATCTCCCCAGTTCACTGTGGTTGTTTCAGAAGTTGAATCGAGAGCCAAAAAAGAAAAATAGGGGAATTCTTGAGTTCTAGAAAATGAGCACGTCTATTAAAATCTCATCAGAAAGAGAGCTGAGATTTAATGAAATGTAGCGAGTTTGTTTAGTGGTTTCGAGTGCACGCTACAATAAATTACATCCTGGGGACTTAATGCAGCGCTTGCTGCCCGGATTTTAAATGAAGGGAAAACAACGTTAACACTAGAACAAGTTTTCTTTTGCGCCTTCGTTCTAAAAAGGGGGAAAGAAAAAGAAAACACGTTACGCTCCTCTATCAAAACCACGGAGACCAACAGAGGATGGACAGTCGGGGGGGGTTGAACGAGTTAGAGATGAGTTTTGAGTCTCTTCATGGGGTCAGCAGGTGATGCTGAATCAGTCCTGTACAATCCCCACTTTGCTTTGGTGCTTTCTGGGCCGGGCCAAGCTGTGCCGTGCCGAGCCAGACCAGTAGAAGGGAACGGGGCCTCCTCAGGAGAGTTCAGACTTGCTGAGAGCGATGGCCAGCTCCAGGTCTTCTTGCTCCTGCTGGGTGAGCCTGGCGAGTCGCTCCTTTTCCTCTCGCTCGCTCTCGCGCTTTGCCCACTCTATCATGTCTTCCTCGGTCGGATACTGCTCCATGAAAACAGAGGAAACAAAGAAACATACGCACACAATGGATGCAGTTTTGAAACTTTGAAAACCCACCAGCAGCAGACCTTTTTCCTTCAAAGTGGACACTTTGATTTGTAATCACCATTTATGTGCCAGAAACCAAAGACAGT